TTATAATATTTTTAATAATATTAAAATAATGTTTTTAAAAATATTTTTAAAAAGTTTATTTTAAATTATTATTAAAATATAATAATAATATTTTTAAAATATTTTTAATAATATTAAAATAATGTTTTAAAAACATTTTTAAAAAGTTTATTTTAAATTGTTATTAAAATATAATAATAATGTTTTTAAAACATTTTTAAATCTTTATTTTATTTTTAAAAATTTTTATTATGTTATTAATATGTTATAAATATATCATAAAAATGTTTTTTTTTATAAAAACATATGTAAGGTATCAATATATAGGGAAGGCTGTATATACCAATATGGGAGCAAGAAGAGCGACAAACCGCTAGAATGAACCAATTTGGGAGAATTATAAGGTTGCTGCAGGAAGTAGACAGGGGAGTGTAACAAGTACAAAAAACCCTCTGACAAACTAATAGATCTTTAGCTAAGCTACATTTTTGTCAAAGGATTTTCTCTTATTGTTTGTTTTAAGAAGGTTATAAGGTTAAAGTTTTAATGGTTGCGTTTAATATAATATAAATTTATTTAACCAATCAGAATCAATTACACCAAAATTAGCCAATCAAAATCGATTATATAAACACCCCTTATAGTATAGATTGGATGTCCGGTACTGTAATAAAATTGTTAAAAAATTTTTTATATAAAATTACTAACTGCTATATGTATATTAAAAAACGTCGAGGATGATGCTAAAATTTGAACTTATTTTAAAAATTTTTTTAGTGTTTTTTCTAGATTTTTTTTATGGTTGGATTGGAATTTAAGGTTAGGGTTTATAATTAAAGAGTATAGGTGGGTTTTAGTAGAATTTATATATATTTTTTAAATAAAGACCCTAAATTTCAGCATCATCCCCGACAAAAAATACGGGGGTACCACGGGTTACCGAACGATTTACTTGTAATCCGTAGTACCCCCTTGTAATAAAGATATCAAACTTTTTTCACAATAACCAATACCTAACAAATTGTAAAATCTCAATTAATTGTTTAAATTATTAGATAATTGTGTTTAAAAAATGGCCAATCAAGCATAAAATACTACAGCGACAGGTTGTATGTATCCATTAATTAAAGTTAAATTTTTTATTTTACTCGCTACACGATCGTCGTAATCTAACGGATAATACCGTTATCTGTTATTGAATGCTGCTGCGTACCAATAATTAACTGTTACAGGTTTAAGATCAGCCTAAAAATGAATTTCTTCGAAATTCAATTTCTTAATCTTTAACCAAATAAACAAATTATCAGACAGTGCATGTCTGATAACTTATAAGTACTAGAACAATAAATATAATATATCTGATAATGAATATACAGTATATATATTTACAATATTATATATACATACAAAATATAAATTAATAAAAATAATAATTTTAACATGTTTAACATTACTAACATAATATACTTAAATAGGTACGTAGCTTCCTAAACAAAATAAAACCAAAATTAATCACATCTATAAAAGTTTAAAGTATATTGATATACAACATATTTATAGTTTTCTCGTATAACTTTCGGTAAATCCTCGAATTAGGTTTCACATAAATTAATAGTTTTACGTTAATGAATTTCACGAAATATACGTGAGATTTAATTTTTGTAGATCCATACAAAATAATACACAAAGGTCTAAAATGAATGATTCTTTGTACATACGTGGAGTAAGTATCCGGTATTACTCACGTACATACGTACGTACGTACAGTACGTACATACATAACAGATAACACGAAATGAAGGACAATATTTATCACATGTCTCAATACGGTGTACACACACACTTATTTTTGAATTTTGTACAAAGGGCAAATATATGCTAGGTTTTACTGCTGTCGCATCGTGTGACATAAAAGTAGATAACTGATAATAATATTATTATCATAGCATAATAATATAACGAAAACGATAAATATGAATAAACAAACAAGATGTAATTGGTTATCAATGAGAAGTAATTTAAGTATAAAGACCGTTTGTACCAATCAACTTTATAGAATAATATATGCATAATCTACGTTAATATTTATCATAAGTTCTAGAGCAAACATGTCAATAACATAGCAGATACGTAGCGAGGGGCTTTTTTTATACAATAGGGGCGAAACACTAACCAAACCGTATAATAGAGATAAAGATTCAGGAATTGCAAAGTTCTTAATATTTAATATGCGGTACAGAAATGTTTGAAGTTGAATTTCGTGTAACCAACTAATTACTTGAACTACTAAAACTGCCAAAAGAAGGAACGATGGGAATACTTATTTGTTTTCATAAAATTTGCAATTTGTTAATTTCGTAATTCGATTTTAGTACTTTAATAGACATTGTTGCCACTTTTGCATGTATCAATATCGATACACGGAATTTTGTTCAAAGTTTTGCTTGTGTCGCGATAGTTATAACCTCCCCCTTTGCAACACATAACCTTGCAAAACTTCGTTTTGATGCACTTCTCAGCATAATTTACATAACTTTTCCCACTATCATGTTTAAAATTTCCCTGTAAAGAGATCTACCTTACTTTCACACATTAGGGCCTATTCCCTCTTTTTTTCCCTTTCCACTTACCTTAAAATACCGTTATATACGTAAACTCCTTTATTTTGATATTATTATTAGTTAGTATATAATCTATTTGTCATGGCTACAAACACAACATCCCATCATCTCTCTCCCCCTCCGTCAACACTGGGCTACGTGAGTAATGAGAAGGCTGACGACTCGATAACGCCGATTTCGATACAAAGAAATCCACCCTCACCTCGAACACAATCTAAATCTATATTAACGGTCGCGCTTCAAAAAGCTCAGAAAGCTGTTCATTTTGATGAGGCAAACGATGTTGCAGCAGCACTTGAAGCTTACAAAGAGACAGTTGAATTGTTATCACAAGTTATAGGCAATGCTGCAAACGAGGCCGATCGTCGGAGGTTACAACTTATTGTAAGTCCAACAATATTTTTTTTTGACAATCGTTTTAATGAATATGCATTTCTTGATGGAAAATGATGAATGGTAATCAATGAAATAATATAGTCAACGGAGCAATTTATTATTAATGATATATTAATAAGAAATAATTATTTTTTTAAAAAAAAACCATATATCTAACCGATAAAAACATTTTATATCGTTTATTATATTATATCATCGAATAGCACGACACATACGCAGATCGGATACGACTACTATCGACCATAGTTCTAGAGGCCGAAGATGATAATGCTAGTAATGTAGATAATGAGCCAGACATAAGTGAATATATACTAAATAATGTTACATCACAATATTCTAATAATTCATCTCCTATCGAAGTTAATTCTAATCGTACAACAGAATCTAATGGACAAAAATCTATAAGTAGTGATGACACAATAGATCAAAATTCTTCAATAAAATACAATGAAAATACACCAAGTGCTCATGTAAAAATAGACACTTCAATTCGAGCAAACGGTGGTATAAAAAATGGTATAGATTATCATGTTAACTCAAAAGATAATTTTAAAAACGGTGATCACACAGCACGACCAAAAAGATTATCAGTCTTATCACATAAATCAAATATTTCAACCTCGACTACTAAGTCGTGGACTTCATCAAAGTCAACATATGAAAACACCACTAATGGAACAAAATCAATCGCTGATACGAGCGATATCGCCGAATCAGTTACAAGTTCGGACGATGTTGATTTTAGTTCTGATGACTTTGATTCCAGTGCAAATTGTTCTGATGCCCAAAACTTTGAAATTTCTGATACGAAATATGATACATACTTATCAGATATAAATCATGATTCTTCAATAAAATCTTGCTCTTCTTCAATCTCACCTCAATCCATTTTATCACAAGAATCAATACAAAAAGATCCTTCATCACCACCTTTAACTGTTAAAGATCCTGTATCTCTGTTAGAAACAGAGAAAAACGTATCATCTAATCCTGCTCGAATTTTTACTCCTCCTCCTCCGCCAAAAGTTGCTCCTCCAACATCCTCAAGCACTAACCCTAATATTCGTCCTGATGGAGTTCCTGTTTTTCATACTCCACGTCCACCACCATCTTCTCCTCCTCAGAATACTTCAATGCTAGAAAAAAGGGCTACATCACCAAAGGTCTCAACAACAACATCCTCCGTCCCATTAACACGATCACAATCTGACGAAGAGGATGATAAGGCTTCGGTAAGGTCAACTTCTACCGAGTCAGTAACTCCTTCCTCTCCATCAACGTCTCAGTCATCTATGGAAAAATTATTCAGTAAGGCATTGACAAATAACAGACGTCCCTCTCCCCTTCCTCTGGTTCAACAAAACAATTACAATTCTCGCGTCATACCTGGGCATGTTTCTTCGAATTCTAATTCTGCACCAGATTCTCCGAATTTGTCACGTCCTGCAAGAACTCCACGAAGGACCACCTCAAATCCTGGCAGTGCTCCTAAAAAAAGTGGTGCTTCACGTTTCTTCAATCATTCACATTCATCCCAATCACCGGGAACTCCTGGTACTCCATGGACAAATAGTCTTAGTTTCATCTCACAACCATTAGGTAGTCCTGGACTTAGCTCTTCTACTCCTACATTCCGAAGTGACTCTCCAACAGTATATTCTACTAGAACTATTGATTCTGGTTATGCCAGCTGTCTTGTGAACCCATATCCTACACCATTAATTTATGATGATGATGCTGGCAATCCTGTTATGACCAATTCTGGAATGTCTGAACTTCCACCTAATGATGTGCACTTAAAACCTTTTTGGCTTATGAGGTTATTAGAACGTACCATGACAACCGGAGGCTATCTAACTCCAAAGCTATATATTCCTAGAAATTTATGGTTACAAGGACATGCAAAGCTGATTTCTATTGATGCTAAAATTTCTAGTTGTGATGTTGTTCTTAATTGTTTAATGAAGCTTTCAAAAACTTCAGTTGATGATATGGATACTTTAATGAAGGTTAATAATTATATATATTTTGATTTATTAAGTATAATTTCATTAACTTTTTTTATTTTTTCATATTCTCTAATAGGTACTAGAAGGTATAGAACCTATTATTGAAGGTCTCCAAAACACCCTTGCCAGGAAATTGAGTTATGTTGAATCGACGAATGGAAAAGGTCGTCAGAGTACAAGTTCACTCATGAATTGGGGCTCAAAATTGTCTCGTGGCCTTGACAAAATGGGCATGAGCAATGCAACTGTTCGTAGTGAAGAGGCCAATGAATATGTGGATGTATTATTAAAAGTATTTCAGAATGTCGATATCGTAGGTTAGTAGCGCTCTTAGAACTTACCTTGAAGTTTTCAATTCTTAATTTTTAACATTTGATTCTAATTAAGTTCTTTTCTTTCCATTAACAATTTTAATCTTGTAAACAGAAAAGTACATACGCCATTTCTGTTCCATGAAAGCTCCATATCATGCTAATCACTCCAAAATTGTCACTCGACTATTTAAATTTGCAGACTATTTTGGAAATGTTCTTTGTCGGTTTGTTGTTAAAGACTTGGGTGTATTAGCAGACAAATATGTAAAAAAGGGAAGTCATTGGATTACTGAGTAAACAAAAAGATTTTGTGGACAAAATGTTATCATGTGTAAATTGTCTTTTGGCATGACTTTTTTTTTTTTCTTTTATTATTTATGTATTTTTACTTATTTTATCATTTTTATCATTTTTATGGTTTTTATGGTCTTCCCTTTTAATTACTCACCATTTATTGAATCTTATTATTATTCAATGTTTATAGGGGACCATGATTACCTGATTCTACTTGTATAGATTTTTTTTAGTTAGGTATCTTATTTTAGAAAAAAAACCCCCATTTTTTTGTAAACCATACTTATGTACGTACCTACGTTTATTTTTCATAATTATCATAATGTATTCTCTAGTTCAAAAAACCTAATGATTTATATAGTATAGTTTTGGAAGGATATTTAACATGATAGTATCTAATTTTTTCTTACGGTGCGTCTATTGGTTTTGTATTAGGTGTTACATTATTAGTCATTTGTGTTTTTTAATTCATATATAGCTAAATAATGCATAAGTGAGCAATAATTCCTCTTGTTATATAGTACATATCAAATATTAAAACATATAAAACCTATTGGAAAAATATATAATATTTTGAAAATTAAATTTTCGCTACTATATTTATAAGGTCTGAGTTTAAGCACTCGTTAAACAAGTGACAAGTTTTTCGCTTTTTAGACATTTTAAAATGTTTAAAAATGGCGCTACCCTTGTTCTAGCAGTTTTATATAGTAAAATTTCCTTTTTTGGGGATTTGCCCAGGCGATATTTTATTAAACTTTTAAAGATATAGCATTGTTATAATTTTACAATATCTAATTATTTAGTTATTAGTTACAGCATATATAATACTCTCTATTTTGTAAAACTATTACGTATTACATAAAACTTAACCCATTT